CTTCTCTGTTAAATTGTAAGACCCAAAACTTACCTCTAAAGTATCTAGGTCTGCCATTGGGTGCTAATCCAAAGAGGAAAAGGTTTTGGAAACCAGTTACAGATAAGTTCAAATTGCAGCTTACTGGCTGGAAAATGAGGCTTCTCTCCTTTGTAGGGAGGTTGATCTTGGTGAAAGCAGTGCTATCAAGTCTACCCGTGTTTTTCTTGTCTCTGTTCAGGTTGCCTGAAGGAATAGCTAAGGAGTTAGATAAAATACAGGCTACTTTCCTATGGGGTGGTTCAGATTTAAAGAGGAAAATGCATCTCGTGAAATGGACAAAGGTCACAAAAAGCTTAAAACAAGGTGGACAAGGTGTTCGAAGGCTTAGGGATGTGAATGTCTGTTTGCTTCTGAAGTGGTGGTTGCGATTTGCGTCTGAACATGATTCATTATGGAAGAGGCTTATTTGCAGCAATTACAATTTTCAAGGTGGGGCCTAGCTACCTAATCTTACCTCTAGCACCACTTTTTCTAGAATTTGGGGTGGTATCATAGCTGTTGTTGAACATCAGCAATCTCTTATGGAATTCTTTGTTAGTAATCTGCAGCTCAAAGTAGGGAATGGTTTTAGAATTAGGTTCTGGACTGATCAGTGGTGTGGAGCCTTATGTCTTAAAGAAGAATTTCCAAGGATATTCCAACTATCGAATGACAAGGAGGATTTACTCAAAGACTTTGTGGATGCCTCCTCTAATAATTGGTTGTTTTCCTTTAGAAGGTCTCTATTCGATTGGGAGAAAGAGAAGCTTCTTAGATTAATAGGCATTATTGCACCAACACCTGCACTCAATCTGTTGGTCCAAGATAGTGCTTCATGGTTAGCAGTAAAGCCCGGGCAATCTCTTGTATCTGTTCTCTACAATCAGACTAATCTCCCTTATGGTAGTAATGCCAGCTTCTACAGTTTGGTCTGGCTAAAATATCTACCTCCCAAAGTGCAGGTCTTCGGTTGGCTTGCTTGGAAACAAAAGGTCAAAACCTTTGTGTTCTTGTAACGGATTAGTGTGCTGGATAGGGCTGCATCTACTTTATGTATTTTTTGCAAATCACAACAGGAAACTTTGGATCATGTGCTGCTTCACTACCCTCTAGTATGGAGAGTATGGATTGGGTTGCTGCAGTGGTAGGGGACTCTGTGGGTGACTCCAGGCTCTGTGCAAGGAGTGCTGCAATGGTGGGCAGGTCATCCCTATAGGAAAAATGAACAGAGAATTTGGCGAGCATTACCATTAGTCACCCTTTGGTCATTATGGAAGCTCATAAATGAACATCTATTTCAAGATTTACAACATGACATATACGAGCTACAGGAGCTTATAATCATAAGGTTAGCTATTTGGCTAAAAGCCTCTTCCAAGGATCTTTCATTCTCCATAAATGATTTCCTCTATAACATCTTGGGCATTAGGAAGTGTATCTGTTGATGGTTGTGATTTTGCTATACTCAGTTTCTCTGATGGGTGTATCTGTAGATGGGTGTGATTTTCATGGGTCATTATCTGTTTTTCTGATTCTTTACTCAGCAGAGGTGTCTGTTGGTTTGTTCTCAGCGGGATTGGTCTGCTTCAAAGTTCTGAGGTCTGTTTTTCCTTTGTTAAGGACTGCTGATCATCATCTTTCTCTATTTTTCCTCTGCTTTCTTGATATCTGGTTTGTCTGTCGTTCTTCTTCTCTGTTGGTTTCTCACCAACTAGGAGATATGCTCTGCTGCTGTTCTGCTCTGCTGTGTATAACAGTGCACATCTCAAACTTTTGGAGATATGTAAGCTTATCAAGTATAGAACTGCAATTTGATGGATTCTGTTGTTGTCCTCTGTTGCTGGTAGTTGTTCTGTTATGTTGTCTTTTGATTAGAGCGAAGCTGTAATTAGATGGATTCTGTTGTTGGGCTGTTGTGGCATTTGAACTGCACTGGGGTTCTTGAGATTGCTTCAAATATCAAATGGGTGAGTCAACACATCTGGATCTACTGCTGGTAGGTTTTGGTGCTAATGGTTGCTGGCACTGGTGCAGTGCAGTTGCATTGGTTGCTGATTAATGTCTTGTTGTTTGGCATTGGTTGTTGATTAATGTCCTGCTGGTAGGAGGCTGCTCTGGCTGGTTGGCATGTTGCTGTGCTGCTGGTAGTTATTCTGTTATGTTGTCTTTTGATAAGTATAGAGCTGCTGTGTTGTTGTGGCATTTGAACTGCACTGGGGTTCTGAATGTGGCTGGTTCTGGATTGAAATGTAATTGTCATGAAAGGTTCATTGAGAAATTGAGGAAGTTGGTTTCTAATGTGTTGCATTATATTGGATCTAGAATTGCTTTGCAGTTGGCTATGGTGAGCTGGTGAGTTGGCTATGGTCCCTGGTATGGTATGTTATGATGTTGGTGTGATACTCAGATAGGTTCAGGCTGCTTGTTTGTTTTGTGACTCTAGTTTGCTCTGTCAGTTTTGGTGGCTGTTGTCCTCTTTTCTTGTTGGTTTCTCGCCAACTCTGGAGGTGCTAGCAAATGATAGAATGGGCTTTTTGGTGCCAACTTAGTTGGGATGATTTAGCTCATTGTGATGCCTTTGCACCTCCTTTTTCTTTTTTGATGTAGTGTGTTTTTGCTCTTTGTACTTCTTTTCTACATCAATAAAGTTTCTTTCTTTTGCCGATCAAAAAAAAAAAAAAACAAAGCTTACTAAGCTCAAGCCCAACAACCACTACTACTTACATACAATCTCCATAATATGAGGGGGGAAAAACACTACTACAAAGGGAATCGAAGAAATGGGGTGGTTGCTATGCTAAGGCACAGCAGTCACTGTTGTCATAATTAACAATGTTTTCATGGTTGCTATGCTAAGGCACAGCAGTCACTGTTGTCATAATTAACAATGTTTTCATAATTTTATAATTTTAGCAATATTTTCGTAATTTTATCAGTAAAAATCCTTTTTAAGTTTTGAGAATAACCTTTTAATGATGACATAAATTAGTCTTTAAAACCATTACACGTTGTAGTATTGTTAAAATATAGTTAAATAGAGTGTGTTGTTGCAAATATTCATAATATTTGTGGAGACAAGGTGGTCTCATTATCTGTTGGATCTTATTTGATTTATTCAAAGAAAAATTATCAATACATCATATTTTGCTCTAAAAATTATTATTAAGTACCATCAAATGTTATTGTAGATAACTAAGTCCTATTTTTTCAATAATATATCTAAAAAGTTTAATTCTCCAAAATAACTTATTTTATCCCAATTTTACTCTTCTCATTAAAATATGAACCAAAAAATTCATAAACAATTTTAATTTATTTGAATTTTTTATAATAAAAATATTTATAATTGTTGAAATTAAATAAAGGGAAATTTATCGGAAAGTCCTTTATGGTTGAATTGTGTTCCATTTGGTCCTGCTGATTTTTTCTTTGATTGACAACTCCATATTAGGTGGGATTCCTTACCCATAAGTCCTTTTTTAAATTTTTTTGTGTGTCCTGGACGTAAATGGCCTCACCTATTATATGGGATGTTCTGTTTTTCCATATTGGTATGTACAAAAAACCCAGCAACTGTGGAACCTGACAGTGGGTCAAAATTCATTTAAGAGGTATTATAATTAGGGTTTACATTTATGGGTTCATGATCGTCTCTGCGGCTTAGAAAGTCATCCGCTTACGTTCACACCGTGATAGCACACAGGTTCTCTCTTCATTTTCCGTTACGGATCCCCCCCTCACCATACCCACACTTCAGTTTTTCCCCCATCACCTATGCACAACTTCGTCGATGTTGTGGAACACACCGGCACATTAATGTTTACAGATTAACATTCGACTTCACGAACACAATAGCCAATTTTATGTACTCCCATTCGCTATGCACTTGTAACCACACATTGACAACGATGCACAATTCCCATTGCAGTTGCATTTCTATCGCAATTTTTTCCATTTTCGGCTTATGGTTCTTTCTCACATACTTAGTCGTGTGTTATTTATTACTGATACCTGTGCCGGTATGCAGATGGACGCCTTTTTGATGCTTCTTTGTTCTTATCGGTCCACGAATGTCTCATATAATCTGCAATCGTCAAACACATTTGCTGAGGTTGTCGATTATGTTTGTTCGAAGTTTTCCGGACTCCTGCCGGGAAATTTCGAGTTGTTCTATAAGATTCCCGGCTATAACAACTTCTCCTTACAGAATGATGTCGACCTGAAGAATATGGTTTGCCTTGCGCGCTCGTTCCAGTTGCAGTTAATTGACGTGGTCATTGAACAACATCCTCGTCGGGATGACAACAATCCTGCCATTGACCCAATGATAATCCAAGATCAAGGCACAACGGGGGATGCACTACTTAATGATTTCGGAATGGATGATGAAGTCGATCTGCTGCAATCATTTTGTCCCCACAAGGAGAAAGTCTTCCTTTCCGCTCCATGGGCAAAAGGTTTTACCCACATTGGACAACATTTCGAAGGTGGGGCTTCTGAATTTCGCAATGTACTACGGAAATACGCCGTTGAATGTGGGTTCCAGATCAAATTTCTGAAGAATGACTCCGTTCGGGTAACGGCTATATGTACTATGAACGAAACGAAGTCTTGCACGTGGTCTGTGCACGGACAGAAATTGGAGGCAAATGGATTTTTCTACTTACGAAAATGGAACAGTGAACACATTTGTGGCGTGGCTGTGCGTACGTCCACACACCCACTTGTTGGGTCTGATCTTGTGGCCGACATTGTATCTGAACGTGTGCGTGATAGACCTTTAACCCGTCCGACCGAAGTGATATTGGACTTGAAACAAGATTACAGGCTCGATATAAGTTACCGGGTGGCCTGGCTCGGTGTTGAAAAAACGAGGGGAGAATTGTTCGGTGCACATTCCATTTCGTTTGACTAGTTACGTTGGTATAGTAAAGCAGTATTGGAACACAACCCCGAGACCTACATTAACATTGAATACGATGATCACACGCTACTTCATTTCATTCAAAGCATGCATCGACAGGTTCCACCATTGTCGTCCCCTGCTTTTCCTAGACGCCACGTTCCTCAAAGGCCGCTTCAAAGGTTTTCTACTTGCGGCCACTGCAAAAGACGGAAACCAAGGTTAGTTCCTTCAATTTAAACAATCACACTACCCCATTCAGATGACAACCAACCACAGCACCTTTGTACTATATTCTAACGTGGTCATTAACCCCCGGCGCTATGTTTATGTCACAAACTTTGCCCATGGAGTACATACTTAGTTCTACAAATTTTTCCAAATCTGCAGGTTTGTTCCCGCTATCATATGCGGTGGTGGATTCTGAAAACACCTCAAACTGGTCTTGGTTTCTTCATCATCTCGCGCAGGTGGTTCATGGGGACAGACCTCTAACATTCGTATCGGATCGGAACCTTGGTTTGCTTGAGGCAATGCCCACCGTATTTCCAAATGCAGAACATGCATTCTGTCTACAACATTTGCAGAGGAACTTAAGGGACAGGTTGCGTTACACAAACAGTATGCATCGGGCATGTTTGGTTAGCAAATTACGACATTGCGCATACGCACCAACTGTTACCGCTTTTAACCACAGAGTTGAACAATTCCAAAAAACGGGCCGGTCTGTTGCATCTGAATTCCTAGCAAATGCACATCCACAACATTGGGCAAATGCATTTTTCAGGTCCGTCCCACATGTTACTCACAAAAACCACATGCACAACACATTTCCTCATAATGTTCATAATTATTTACCTATATGTTCTACTCATTTTGCAGGGGGCGACGTTATGGCGAAATGTGCTCAAATGCTACAGAATCATTCAACTCATGGGTCCGTGAGGCCCGTAACCTCCCAATCACAAGAATGGTTGACAGCATACGGACCAAATTGATGCGACAAATGGCGAAACGTAGAGAAGCTTCCCAAATGTGGACTGGCACCATATGTCCCAAAATGGAAGATCGGTTAGAAAAAGCATTCAACGAAGGTAGATCATGGAAAGTGAGCCAATCAAACGCTGATGTATACGAAGTGCACTCTTTTCCATCGGTCACTGTTGACATCGGACGACGCACTTGCTCATGTTTCAAGTGGCAGCTCAATGGGTTCCCTTGCGCACATGCGATGGTTGCCGTCCGTAAGAGTGGGTGGGATTTGAACACATTGGTCGAACCATACTTCCACGTGTCTGAGTTTCGTGCCACTTACGCATCCAGCATTTTCCCAATTTCCACTGTCGAGCAACCGCCTTTCAACCCAAATAATTACATCATAAAGCCCCCTGCCGTGAAACGTCCACTCGATAGACCAAAGAAGAAGAGGATACTGTCAAAAGGGGAACATGTTCAGCAAATCAGATGCGGCAGATGTGGGCGCATGGGAAATCATAACAGGAAGACATGCAACGAACCCATTTAACCACATCCTTCAGCCCGGCCACACCAGCTCTAAACTATTATTACTATTCAAGTTTTTTCCTCGCCATATTCGATACAATACTTTCTTATTACTGTTCCAGTATTTTCCTCGATGCAATATTTTTTGCTTCAATTGTTTTCGATTTCAATAATTGTGTGCGACGCCACACGACAATGTCATAGCCAATTTACTATCATTGGCACACTCAGTTATTAATAATAGGTTTCCTTCATTTAATTTCTTACGTGTTATCTCCCCAGCAGATAACGTAGTTCCGTCACAAACTTTGACATCCGTGTATTGAACCAATATGTCAGCTTATACCTCCCACAACTTTTTTTCACGTGTCTTTATGTGAATCCTGAACTACAGTATTTTACAACTACAACAGAACATGCAAATACGTGCTGAAATTATACTGACTTACACACAATCTGCATTCCTGTTTGGTATGACAACATGCAGGGTAACCAACCCAAGCGTGTGGACATCATGCGGTGAATATCACACCAGCCTTTGCACATCAACAAAATATTACTTCCTCTGTCACAAATTCATACAAGCTGACCAGTGCAAACATCACGCCACAAACACACATTTAAGATGCAAACATTAAACAAAACTTGCAACTCACACCATCACCACACACCTACATTCACAACACCAACTAACAGTCGCACCCTACCCGAAACGATGCACTTTAAACACCGCCAGCAAGACGAACATAACCACAACCAGTAATTTAGATTTCAATATCAATGCAACTACAGATTCACACTACAACGTCCCCTTCGAACAGGATCAACAACTTAGCACACATGAACCCCCTCCCGTCCAAGAATTACACCATACTACACCTACTACACTTCCTACCACGCAAGCCAGAACCAAATTACAATACCCTATCAGTCCAACCTAAATCCCATTTCGACAACACATTACTATCAACAGATGCATCCGTGCTGCCCCACCACATACACGTACAACACGCCACACACACATTCACGAATAAGATTAATGCAAACACACATACATTTAACCAGGACATAAATGCATAACACTTTGTCAAAAAACAACCAACAGTAACTCAGTATTTCAAACGTGCGCATTGATCACTATAATTCAACACAGTTGTTAAACGGAGTAACGTACTAGTTTTTATTTGTTTATAATCTATGCATAATTTAATTGAAGCTTAACCAAAACTATCCACGACAAAAGCCACGTTTTATACCACAAGCCAATGCAAAACCATAAAACCAACACACAAAATATAAACAGTATGTACTGCAACTGCCAACCAAAAAACTATTTCGAAATTGTAATCTACGCAGCAAAATAAAAAGTAGTTGTAGTACATAGTAACGTAATGGTAATTGATCTTCATTCACCCAACCATTCGGCCCATGTTGCTTATCACCCCACGTATAGGATCTCCTATGAATCTTTTCACCATGTCCGCAGGTAACACGCTACAGTTGCCTCCTTCCAACGACCTCCCCACATCAACATGATTCACATACTGTCTCATTATTGTGCAAACAATAATCGCACAGTCCATGCTGCAACAACACACATTAGAAATGGTCAGTCAACAACACACATCAGAAATCTTCAACAGGATCATCCTTTTTGCTAAAAAGAATAAATAAATAAAAACACATCGAACTTACGTTTCCGCACACTGCTGGGGGCACTCCAAAACTGATTCAACCATCATATCAAAGTCCTGCGTACCAACCAGCTGATCCAATCCATTTGCAGCCATCACTTGCTGCTGAATGTCCGTTACAATTTTTTTCTGCGCCATAAAAACAAACCCAATGAGAATGGATAACATGTACCTCCAACACACGTAAATTATTCAAATACTCGTCAACTCTATCATTATTCAAATCAACGCACCAGTTTTACAGCCTCCGCGTAGTGCACACCGCCGGTACCGGTCCTGCTCCGCATCGAATTGTAGTGCTTCTAGCTTCCGTCCTCAGTATCATAAACCACTAACGTCCAATGACCAAGGTGGCAAACCGGGAAATGCATGTAACGTGCATCCCTACCAGCATGTAGATTGCTCGTCACATACTTGAATTTTGCCTCCATATTGTCACCTTTCATCACGTCTTGCACACATCAAACACACAACAAACCAAAATAACAAGATCAGTCAACACCATCCACAAACAACGACACACAATGGATACCTAAAAAACACCTACCCAGCATATGCTGCTGAAGAAATAGGAGTTCTCCGGAAATTCTTTTCCCGCATTCAACCTTTGCTGCTCATCAGACAGCACCTCTGCGAAGGCGTCAATAACCTGCCACAAACAGTGCCAGAATTGAAATAAAACCAATATTCACACATTCACACATATTCACAAAACAGTTATTTCGGTAAACTAGTATGACCCATAACGGAATTGGTAACACTTACATTCCCCCGCACACCTAATTGCCTCACCAGTGATCTAACGTCCGAAAAATATACTGTATTCCCATCAATTCGACCAACCCACATTACAGCCTTACACACGTGTCAACATAAAACATTACAATTACATAAACAACAATAACATTGCGTACTACAGTACAAAAAACTACCATTGCAATTAGTAGTGCACACCTTAAAAATTAAACCCACAAACGCACACGTTACTGACCTATCACCGTATGTATCATACGCATTGCTTATCACATCTTTTCTGTCTCCGTCATCATCTTCCACACTGTGTTACGATTCGTGATTCCAAAACCTATGAAAATTTTCTCTCCGGCACCAACACTTTCCACATCAATCACACTTCCGCTTTTCATCACATCGACACTACATCCAACCCCCCCGGTCTTCGAAACGTTCACTTCGTTGTTCATCACACGTCCCTTACGCCTCAACTCTAGGTACTCAAACCCTGATAACTTCAGATTTTTCCTCACTTTACCTTTGATGTTACGTACAAAGGAGTTCATACCACCCACAGCACTGCCACCTTCCGTCAACAACGGACTCACAACAACAACGTCACTGTCATCTGCTAGGATGGGATCGTGCATTTCGTTGTTGTCAACTATGGGAACATATGCGACGGGAGAGGCGTCCACCATGATACCACCTTCAACAGTGGGGCAGTGGTCCTGTACATTACCAACACCAACCCCATTACGAACAACATATCCGTCAACATTAGGGTCCGTGACATTCACACTGGTGAAATGTTGCGTCACACTATGCACTGCTTGCTCAGCAACTTGTTCCTCAAGGGCTGCAAGGCTCCGCCGTAACTCAGCATTCTCAGCTATAAGTTTCTTGCATTCTTCATCTTTCACCTTAAAAATGCTCTCGAATCCTGCCACCAAATTAACTGATTGCATCTCATTCTTCCTTTTCAATCTTTCAACTTCGTTCTTCAATTCCATTACAACTTTGCTGTCTCCTGCGTCCACAGTTATAAAATCAGGACTTCTTGAACCAACATGTCCACAATTGCTCTTACCATCCCCACCCTCCACCACCACGCTGGATACACCCCCACGTTCCACATTACGCATGCCAACAGGCACAACAACGTCTTCCTTATGTATGCTCCCACTACACTGCTTACCATAGCTCCTGCCCTCCAATGTAACAGCCACTTCTGCAGTCCCACTAACAGCCAGCCCTGTCACTTTACCACCCTCTTCTTCAACCAGACCCCCATTACCTTCCCCCAACATACGCTCCCCCTCCAACATTGCCACTTCGTGCACCTGTACGCTCAACTCGTCCGTGATCACCTAGCCAAAACAGCATATTTTACAACCAAACATCAGTGCAACCACACATAACAACAACTGCATGGAAACACAATATAACCTGACAAAAAACTCAACGATTCATAAATAATTACCTCAAACTTATTTGTCTCGGACAGCTTCAGACCTTGTGACGTAGATAGCAGCTCACCAACGTCCCATCTCAGGAATCTGGGGAACCTGTGACCATATTTCGGCTTCACAATGTTTGTATGTTCACACAACCAGAACTGCACCACAAACAAGCATGAAACAACCAAACCATAATAACAACCACTCCAAAACCTTAACAAAAACCATAAACTTATTTTAGCCAAGAAATTAACTACCACATACAGGTTGTACACGTACCGTTAAAGCAACTACACATCCGGTAACTTTCTCCGGTGTCCGATGGAAGTCCCTTACCGAACACATGAGCATATTACGTACAGCTGCACCCCAATCATATAATTTCATGGCGTCAAAGTTGTCCACGTACCGTATCAGGGTCCAACTAATGGTCTCTCCGGACGTGGCAAACAAAAGCTTCCCACACACATACAGACAAATAAACTTGGCCGTATCCTCATGATCGTGCGGGGTGTCCCCCACCGAGGCCTCCATCAGCAAATCCCTCACAAGTTTGGCCGTTATCCTGCTTGTCCCTGGACACCTACGCTGGACAAAATCAGACGCAGGCCTTGGTCGTGGCGTCAAATCAAGGAATGCATTACCACCTTGCAGCCCGAACAACAGCTTCATATCCTCATCCGTTTGCCATCAATTTGACCAACCCACATTACAGCCCTACACACGTGTCAACATATAACATTACAATCACATAAACAACACTAACATTGTGTACTACAGTACAAAAAACTACCACTGCAATTAGTAGTGCACTCCTTTAAAATTAAACCCAAAAACACACACAGTACTGACCTATCACCGTATCTATCATACGCATTGCTTATCACATCTTTTTCTGTATCAGTCATCATCTTCCACACTGTGTTACGATTCGTGATTCCAAAACCTGTGAAAATTTTCTATGCGTCACCAACCCCGTCCACATCAATCACACTTTGGCTTTTCACCACATCGACACTACATCCAACCACCCCGGTCTTTGAAACGTTCACTTCGTTGTTCATCACCCGTCCCTTACGCCTCAACTCTGGGTACTCAAACCCCGATAACTTCAGATTCTTCCTCACTTTACATTTGATGTTACGTACAAAGGAGTTCATACCACCCACAGCACTGCCACCTTCCGTCAACAACGGACTCACAACAACAACGTCACTGTCATCTGCTAGGATGGGATCTTGCATTTCGTTGTTGTCAACTATGGGAACATATGCGACGGGAGAGGCGTCCACCATGATACCACCTTCAACAGTGGGGCAGTGGTCCTGTACATTACCAACACCAACCCCATTACGAACAACATATCCGTCAACATTAGGGTCCGTGACATTCACACTGGTGAAATGTTGCGTCACACTATGCACTGCTTGCTCAGCAACTTGTTCCTCAAGGGCTGCAAGGCTCCGCCGTAACTCGGCATTCTCAGCTATAAGTTTCTTGCATTCTTCATCTTTCACCTTAAAAATGCTCTCGAATCCTGCCACCAAATTAACTGATTGCATCTCATTCTTCCTTTTCAATCTTTCAACTTCGTTCTTCAATTCCATTACAACTTTGCTGTCTCCTGCGTCCACAGTTATAAAATCAGGACTTCTTGAACCAACATGTCCACAATTGCTCTTACCATCCCCACCCTCCACCACCACGCTGGATACACCCCCACGTTCCACACTACGCTCGCCAACAGGCACAGTAACGTCTTCCTTACGTATGCTCCCACTACACTGCTTACCATAGCTCCTGCCCTCCAATGTAACAGCCACTTCTGCAGTCCCACTAACAGCCAGCCCTGTCACTTTACCACCCTCTTCTTCAACCAGACCCCCATTACCTTCCCCCAACATACCCTCCCCCTCCAACATTGACACTTCGTGCGCCTGTACGAGCAACTCGTCCGTGATTACCTAGCCAAAACAGCATATTTTACAACCAAACATCAGTGCTTTGAAAATTGAGTTTTTTTATTTTTCGTATTTTTTTGTTTTTAGTGAATATTTTTTGAATTTTAAGTAATTTTTTTTTTTAGATGCACCTTACTTAAGTGTATCTAAATAGTAAAATATTTGTAAAAAATTAATAAATACACAAAAATACAAAAAATATATTGAATTTTCATTTTTTTTATTGTATTTTTTGGCATTTAATGTATTTTTTAAATATTTTTTTTACAAATATTATACTTTTTTAAGTGTATTTATGTTAGGTGTGTCTAAAAATTAAAAAAAGGGAAATTTATCGGAAAGTCCTTTATGGTTGAATTGTGTTCCATTTGGTCCTGCGGATTTTTTCTTTGATTGACAACTCCATATTAGGTGGGATTCCTTACCCATAAGTCCTTTTTAAAATTTTTTTGTGTGTCCTGGACGTAAATGGCCTCACCTATTATATGAGATGTTCTGTTTTTCCATATTGGTATGTACAAAAACCCAGCAATTGTGAAACCTGACAGTGGGTCAAAATTCATTTAAGAGGTATTATAATTAGGGTTTACATTTGTGGGTTCATGATCGTCTCTGCGGCTTAGAAAGTCATCCGCTTACGTTCACACCGTGATAGCACACAGGTTCTCTCTTCATTTCCCGTTATGGATCCCCCCCTCACCATACCCACACTTCAGTTTTTCCCCCATCACCTATGCACAACTTCGTCGATGTTGTGGAACACACCGACACATTAATGTTTACAGATTAACATTCGACTTCACGAACACAATAGCCAATTTTATGTACTCCCGTTCGCTATGCACTTGTAACCACACATTGACAACGATGCACAATTCCCATTGCAGTTGCATTTCTATCGCAATTTTTTCCATTTTCGGCTTATGGTTCTTTCTCACATACTTAGTCGTGTGTTATTTATTACTGATACCTGTACCGGTATGCAGATGGACGCCTTTTTGATGCTTCTTTGTTCTTACCGGTCCACGAATGTCGCATATAATCTGCAATCGTCAAACACATTTGCTGAGGTTGTCGATTATGTTTGTTCGAAGTTTTTCGGACTCCTGCCGGGAAATTTCGAGTTGTTCTATAAGATTCCCGGCTATAACAACTTCTCCTTACAGAATGATGTCGACCTGAAGAATATGGTTTGCCTTGCGCGCTCGTTCCAGTTGCAGTTAATTGACGTGGTCATTGAACAACATCCTCGTCGGGATGACAACAATCCTGCCATTGACCCAATGATAATCCAAGATCAAGGCACAACGGGGGATGCACTACTTAATGATTTCGGAATGGATGATGAAGTCGATCTGCTGCAATCATTTTGTCCCCACAAGGAGAATGTCTTCCTTTCCGCTCCATGGGCAAAAGGTTTTACCCACATTGGACAACATTTCGAAGGTGGGGCTTCTGAATTTCGCAATGTACTACGGAAATACGCCGTTGAATGTGGGTTCCAGATCAAATTTCTGAAGAATGACTCCGTTCGGGTAACGGCTATATGTGCTATGAACGAAACGAAGTCTTGCACGTGGTCTGTGCACAGACGGAAATTGGAGGCAAATGGATTTTTCTACTTACGAAAATGGAACAGTGAACACATTTGTGGCGTGGCTGTGCGTACGTCCACACACCCACTTGTTGGGTCTGATCTTGTGGCCGACATTGTATCTGAATGTGTGCGTGATAGACCTTTAACCCGTCCGACCGAAGTGATATTGGACTTGAAACAAGATTACGGGCTCGATATAAGTTACCGGGTGGCCTGGCTCGGTGTTGAAAAAACGAGGGGAGAATTGTTCGGTGCACATTCCATTTCGTTTGACTAGTTACGTTGGTATAGTAATGCAGTATTGGAACACAACCCCGGGACCTACATTAACATTGAATACGATGATCACACCCAACAGTTCACACACTACTTCATTTCATTCAAAGCATGCATCGACAGGTTCCACCATTGTCGTCCCCTGCTTTTCCTAGATGCCACGTTCCTCAAAGGCCGCTTCAAAGGTTTTCTACTTGCGGCCACTGCAAAAGACGGAAACCAAGGTTAGTTCCTTCAATTTAAACAATCACACTACCCCATTCACATGACAACCAACCACAGCACCTTTGTACTATATTCTAACGTGGTCATTAACCCCCGGCGCTATGTTTATGTCACAAACTTTGCCCATGGAGTACATACTTAGTTCTACAAATTTTTCCAAATCTGCAGGTTTGTTCCCGCTATCATATGCAGTGGTGGATTCCGAAAACACCTCAAACTGGTCTTGGTTTCTTCATCATCTCGCGCAGGTGGTTCATGGGGACAGACCTCTAATATTCGTATCGGATCGGAACCTTGGTTTGCTTGAGGCAATGCCCACCGTATTTCCAAATGCAGAACATGCATTCTGTCTACAACATTTGTAGAGGAACTTAAGGGACAGGTTGTGTTACACAAACAGTATGCATCGGGCATGTTTGGTTAGCAAATTACGACATTGCGCATACGCACCAACTGTTACCGCTTTTAACCACAGAGTTGAACAATTCCAAAAAACGGGCCAGTCTGTTGCATCTGAATTCCTAGAAAATGCACATCCACAACATTGGGCAAATGCATTTTTCAGGTCCGTCCCACATGTTACTCGCAAAAACCACATGCACAACACATTTCCTCATAATGTTCATAATTATTTACCTATATGTTCTACTCATTTTGCAGGGGGCGACGTTATGGCGAAATGTGCTCAAATGCTGCAGAATCATTCAATTCATGGGTCCGTGAGGCCCGTAACCTCCCAATCATAAGAATGGTTGACAGCATACGGACCAAATTGATGCGACAAATGGCGAAACGTAGAGAAGCTTCCCAAATGTGGACCGGCACCATATGTCCCAAAATGGAAGATCGTTTAGGAAAAGCATTCAACGAAGGTAGATCATGGAAAGTGAGCCAATCAAACGCTGATGTGTACGAAGTGCACTTTTTTCCATCGGACACTGTTGATATCGGATAGCGCACTTGTTCATGTTTCAAGCGGAAACTCAATGGGTTCTCCTGTGCACATGCAATGGTTTCTGTCTAGAAAAGTGGTCGGGATTTGAACATATTGGTCGAACCATTCTTCCACGTGTCTGAATATCGTTCAACTTATGCAGGAAGCATTTTCCCAATTCCCACCGTCGAGCAACCGCCTTTCAACCCGAATGATTACATCATCAGGCCCCTTGCCGTGAAACATCCACTTGGTAGACCAAAGAAGAAGAGGATACTGTCAAAGGGGGAACATGTTCAGCAAATCAGATGCGGCAGATGTAGGCGCATGGGAAATCATAACAGGAAGACATGCAACGAACCCATTTAACCACATCCTTCCACCCG